GCCCGCCGGGTCATCATACAAGATGGCCATTGCTTCAAAGAAACTATTGATCGATCCCAGGTGAGGATCATTGTTTCCCCTTAGCCGGTGGGCCCAATCCTGGGGTTCCCCCTGTAGTAGTGAAATAATGAATCCTACCTTCACGTTTTTTGGTCAGGAAGGTACGGGGTTGTAGCTCAAAGAACAAGAGACAGGAATCGCGGAATGACCGGAAGCGTGTGCGGTCCCCGTGAAAACGCTCCGGTAGGGGTACTCGGGGTTCTGCCATAGGGAGCGGGGCGGAAGCCCCTGAGACTGGCTCCTGAGCTACCAGGGCCGGGGGTGCAGAAACCGGGGCCTGTGGGGCAGGGTCAGAAATAGAGCCAGTCTGGATGCGATTCTCCAGCTGCATGCATCTGTCCTGCAGGACCGTTACGGCCTGCGTCAAATTAGCTAGGTGCCTGCAAATTTCCTCTAGCGGGGAGGGCCCTCCTCTAGGCTCAGTCACGGCCTTTTGGTACTGTAAGGGACCGCCCGGCGGTACCACTAGCACTCCACTGATCGGATGTTCCCAGCGCACGGAGTCTAAGCCCCAGGGTACTTGTTCACCAGGGCCCCTGATGGTGGGGATGGACTTGGAGTACCCCAGGACCAGGTCGTGACTACTGAGGACACCCGTCAGTGGTAGGGGTATTCGCCAGGGGCTCCCACGGGAGAGAGCCAGGTATGAGGAGGTCTGGAGACCCCGTAGAGAGGGACGGATGGATGGATGGATGGCTGAGCAGGAGCAGGGTCATACAAGCCGGGTCGGTAACTATGGGGACGGTGCGGTACAGAGCAGCGGGCAGAGAATAGTCGGGTCACACGCCAGGTCAGCAACAGCAGGTCAGATCCAATAGGGGGCATTCAGGAGAGAGGTCAGGCAAGCAAGGGTCAAAACAGGAGAAAACAGCAAGGTCAGGGCACAATCCGGGTCAGCAACTTACTTCAAAACAGGTTCACAGGTTCACAGGATACAAAAGACCAAAAGGCACTGAATGACAGCTCAGGGCCGTTTAAATATCCCGCCCTGCGCTGTCATTGGTGCCAGGCGCGCGCCCGCGGTCACTACTGCGCATGCGCGAACCTGATTGCCGTGGTCGGCCAAGTCCCGGCGCTCGCGTACAGGGAGGTGTACTGCGCCTGCGCCGAGCCCAGCGGCGCGACGGTCTCCGACACATGGTGACAAAATGCGTAGGGTAGAATTTCATGATCCAGGAAAGAGAGTGAGTTTGCACAGCAGGCTGTCAGCTTTTACTGATCTCTAAGTGGTGTAGTTTTACTACAGACACAAATGACCAGAGTGTAAGGGGAGGTGGAAACTTGGTAATTTTAGCTTAATGCCTGCATGTTTTGGATACGAGGTAACTGCTCATTTGTCTCTCTTTTTTTTTAAATAAAATGTATTTTATATAGTGAGCACTATGATGCATTTTCTCTTTTGAGCTGTGGTAGTGCTTCTAAAGCTGGGTTCCGAATTGATTTATGGTTCCTTACTGAACATCTCCAGAGACTGTAACCCTGTGTCCATGTTTTCATTCACCTACAGCTACCATTTAGGATTAGGGATTTCAAATAAAATTCCTTGACCTCTATGATAATTTCTTGACCCCTGGGAATTTATGAGGTGACCACACACCCTTGGGGGATTGGGTGGAGGATCCACACGTCACTCTCACAATTGTGCATTTATTATTTGAACACAGACTTTGCGTTATGAACACAGATTTAGTCACAATCACCACATTACTCGTTTTTGTTTTCATATTATTTATTCCTGCAATATTTTTGCACATGTATTTTGTATTTTTTTATATTTACTATTACTACATTAATGCACATTTGTGAATGATCTTATATTGTTATTTAGTTATAGCGCAGCAATGCTTATTCTTATTTTATTTTCAGATTTCTACTTCTCCATTCTTCTTAAATACTTTGGGGTTAAATCAGAATTTAAGAATTAGTCAAGGTTGCTCAAAGTGTCTGCTCATACATGAGAGTATATTAATTAGGTGGTTACTTAAAGATTATATTTGCCACACAAAACATATTAGTGTTTTAGCCCCAAATACTCATCTCCTCATTAAAAAAGAGAGGAAATGGTGGCATACTAAATTCAAGTGCTTTTTTTAAACATGCCTTTTGACCTCATGATCAGAGCAGACACTTGGCAAGTGTGTCTAGGTCCTGAGAATAAATTTAAAGGTGGCTTCTGACCATCAGTGTTAAGATTTCAGAAAGCTATGGAAAGAGTGATGTTCTAGACCAGGGGTCTCCAAACTATGGCCCTCCAGCTGTTGAAGTACTACAAGTCCCATCATGCCTCTGCCTCTGGAAGTCTTGCCTGTGGCTGTCAGAGTCTTGCAAGGCTTCATGGAACTTGAAGTTCCTCAACACCTGGAGGGCCATAGTTTGGAGACCCCTGCTCTAGATAGGAGAAAGATAATGGGTTTGTCCCTCTAATGCACTGGAAGCACAATTCAGTCATGGCAATTTTACTAGACACAACTGAAAATATAAAACTGGCAGCAGCATTATCTAGGGTTGTTCACCATGAGCGATTGTATCTTTTCGGGCCCATTCATATCTGCGCATCAGGCTAATGCACTTTTTTCAGTGTTTTTTTTTAGGCACTTTTCATGCAACAACAGAGGGTAGCCCAGTCACTTGATTTACATGTGCAGCAGGGTGACAATGCAAGAACACAATTGGGAGACGAGGATGGTGAACAGGAAATGAGGGAAATGGAATCTACACCATTTTCTCATGGAGTGTCCTATTAATGTAGGAATCAATGTTTGGAACATTCAGAAATTTTAACACATATCTGAGTTCAGTAGTTAAGTATCACACTGGCTTAGTGTCTTTTGACCAGAGATGAGTGAATTTTCAATTCACCAAAATTTCAGTCCAAAAATACATTTCCAAAAATGCACTGAAGTCAATAAGTTGGGCAAAATGAAAATAGTCTTTGTTAGGTTAATGGTAAAATGGCCTTTAAATGGCACCTTGGAATTATTAAAACTCAATAAAATGATTATTTTGCTATTTTTAATTTTCACTGCAATGTCATGCTTGGTGCAATCTCTGCACAACCCTTATCTGTGATTTCCAGAAGCAGTAAGGTTGTTACCCTATATGTAGGCTTAGATGAGCTATGGTGCTCAACATAAACTTTGCAAGTTTGCTAGCTTTCTATTAGCCTTCAATTAAAAAATGATTGAAAAGAATTGGGCAATTCACAGAAATCTGACATCATCTGCTGCAGTAACTTCCAAGAGAAACCTGCTACAGGAAAGGCACTGCTTTTTATTTTCCTCTCAATTTTGAATGTTAAGCCACTCAAAACCAGTAAGCAGTGGAAAAAATGGAGTGACTGTTAGTAAAAGCTAATGGAAAGCTTCTAAAATTGCCATGTTTATGGTCAGCAATCAGTTTTTTGATGAAAAATCACTGAAATAAATAATTTCCATTTACTTGGTATTTATTATATATATACGTATTAAAAAAGTGAATACTTGTATAAATGTATTTATATTCGTAGGTATGGTAATCAAGTATCTATTTATTATAGGTACTTATATAGTGCTGTCAATTTACACAGCACTTTACATATACTGTATATATCTTGTACATTCACATCAGTTGTTTTCATTTTTATATACTGTATATATTTATACATTAATGTCATAATTTACTTGTTACAAAATGTTATTAACTATTTTTCAGTACCAAAGCACAGCATTTATATTCCATGTATAACATCTGGACCTCTGGTGTGACTGAAGCAGACACCAGTACTAAAGCGATAATGGAGTTCCCAGATTGCTATCATAAGAATCATAAGCTTCTTTAAAGCTCTAGTTAAAAACAGTCATCTACTCTTTGCTGATGAACTGTATAGTACAGAGGCAGTATTCCCAAATAAAGAATATACACAGCCTCTAAAAGCTCATTGGGTTTATGTTTTGATATTGCATTATCATATTCTTAATAGTCACAAAAACTGGTTGATGACAAAATAGCTGAAAGTCTGTAAAGCATATCATTTTCATGCACATGTACAAGAGTAATGTGAGTTCTAAATCCAGTTCTGCCAATACTACTGGAAGGTGTGAATTGAGGATCCATGGCTTGAACACCACCTGTGGACCTTTTAAATTGGTTTTCTGCCAAACACTATAAAGGTGATTAAAAATAACCTAAATTAAATTGTGCATCAACCTATTTCAAGTTAGTTCATGCTTGTTTTCATTAGACTTGCGGATATAGGAATGCTGCACATTTACCATTTTTTAAACATTCGTAAATCACCTTCTGTATTGTGTTGCAGCAGCTATACTACTACAGGACAGAAATATAGCTTAATTAGAAACTGCATAACTGCACCATGGTATAAAAAGATTTATAATGGGAAAACGGCCATGAATTTGTGAGCAGAGATTTCAATGTAATGGAACTGTCACAAAAGAGGGGTACTTAGTAAAAATTTACGTTTGATTGCTGGTTAAATACTGTATCCATGTGTTAAGCTGCACTTTTTCTGCCAGTATTATTTAGAATGAATGGAAAGCATGTTTTAGATTCATAAGATAATCCTTAATGGTCTTGCTGATACAATCTCCATGTAGCTTGATCAATTCAACATTTAAAATTACATTTATATACAAAGCATTGGTAAATCTTCACCTGTAAAATAATTACTTTAAACCAAACTAAAATGACTAGTTATGGACTCAACCAGGACTGGTGGGTGTTTGTAAGAAATACATATATTAAATGATAAGGCTGGTGGTCAAAAAGCAGATGAATGACTCCTTTATTCAAACAAAGACATCTTTAAAAGCAAAACAAAAACACCGCACTCCACAGGTCTCACATTGTGCCCCCTCCAGGAGGTACCAATGAAGGCACATCAAATTCTCCCATAGGGAACGTAGCCTCCCTGATGGTATTCCCGAGTGTAGCTCGGGGTAAAGTTTCAGTACCAAAAGCGGTAACCCCGAGCTACACTCGGGCTTACCATGCGGTGCTGCTCCGGCATCTGTTCTTCACTTACCTTGTCCTGCTCTCCCGCGATGTCCCCCCTGCGGTGTCCCCGGCAATGTAATCCCGCGGATGCCGGCATCTGTCATCTGGGTTCCGTCCCCTGCAAGCGTTGGGGCGTACGGGGGACAGAACGGCGGGAAATTTGAAAATGACAAAAAGTGACATTCACTCAATACACTAAAATCACATAGTAAAACATTACTGTATCAAACCATTTCACATACATTTTGTCCCTAGTGCTTTGTCCTGTGCCCTGCCTGCATTTTTACTGTTCTTATTGCCTGAAAACTGAGAAACATCCATGGTGTCCAAAAAGTGTCCCTTTAGGTCAAAACCGGTTTTAGACGAGCTAGAGAACAGTGATAGTAAATTAGAGCCACTTGCAGAATTGAGTGATAATGATTCGTGAGGAAATTCGTCATCAGACACTGAAAACGATTTTGCGACTTTGCTCAGTGATGTGCAAACTTGGCGCTATATTGCAAATTTCAGTGTTTTTGGTTTGATTATATTATTGAATTAAATGTATTATTATATTATTATTTTTTATGATTATTTATTAAATTATAATTTATGATTTCGTGTTTCAAATTTTATCATACCCGGGATGTTTACTAGACTCTTGTTCGGACAGATTTCAGTGAGTTATTCCTAAAAATTACAGGCCTACAATAAAAAAAATACATATTTCCATGCAAAAAAATGTACCGCTTTGAGCACAGAAATATGGACATAATCAGACCGCAAGGGAGGTTAAATGCTCAGCATACAGAATTCCAGTGTTAATGACTCTAAGTCCTCATCTTAAGTTCCCACTGGTGAGACATGTTTGTTTGAAACATGATAGTAATCCTAGATTTCTCCAATGCTGGGTTTTGAAAGTTATCCCCCATGATACTGGGGGGGGGGGGGACTTTGATAAATTGGTGCTCCAACGTGAAGCAAGATGGATATGGGAGCTTGAAGCTACCAAAACTCCTGGACTTAATGAAAGTTAAGTTAATGAAAGCCCCTTTTTTGACACCTTGATTCCCCCCCAGTTTATTTATATATATATATATATATATAAAACTTTTTTTTTATTATTATTATTTTTTTTTTTTCACTTGTGGGTTTTTCCTTGGCATCGTCCAATGGGTTTCTCCTTTTTTTTTTTCTTGGATATAGACAGGTACGTTTGAGTATAATATTAGGTTGGTGGTCTTTCGCACACATTTTTATTTTAACAATTCCTTTTGTTAATGATTGATTTTAAATTCTGTTGGCTTGTCATAGACTGGGTTCCTTATGACTGAGTATTAGCAGGCCTCTTAGGAGAAATAGTTCTTATGTATATTATATACGTTTGATATGTAATTTATGTCTTATATATTTTATTATTGTTTAAATACAATTGCTGAAATATCCACTAGATGGCACCTGGGACACCTCTTGTTTTCTGCTGCATCCATTGTTTTTGCAAAGGCAAAGTTCATCACACCGCACGTGCGCTTGACTTCACTGTGCATATTACATCATGACATCACAACGCTTTGCGCATGCGAGATTGGTATGAGGCAGCCATTTGTAAGGGCCAAATCCATTTAGGCATGCCAAGCAAACCCAAGCCTACCTCTGTGGCAGCTCGTTGTACCTGCAAAACGAATCACAAAGGGCCTCTCCACACTCTCAGGTCTCCCAAGGACACTTATTTCAATGCCTGCAGCATGATAAGTACCATGAACCTTACTTTGATCTTGCTCTGATGCTCCGAACTTTCCTAATTCTGAGGAACCTATTCACCAATATGTACAAAGGGACTGTTCTTTCTATTCCCTAAGGACATGCCACTCAGTTGACATATGGACCAGACTATGCATATAAATGTATGAGGGAGGCTTTTATTCTTCACTTGAACCTTCCCCTGGATGGTGCCTCCAAATTGCTGAGCACTAGAGAGAGGTGAAGATACCATTATTCATATACAATTTGTTCAACACTATCTGTTTCCTCCTCTGGACTACATCTGGTCTGGCGTTCCACTTGGGCCTTCTTAATGGTTGCCCCTTCCAAAGATTTATTTGGCCAACAATTTAGTGCAAGAGGGAGGTCAGTGTTAACTACAGCTTTCACAGGATATCCTCTGTTGGACTACACGCTACTATCTCTACATGGTGCCTAAACCATTTTCAACGTTTTACATTCCTTTTGCTGAGCGGTACAAGGTCATGACATGAGGAACATCCCTTTGATGAGGACTTAAAAGTCATTAACACTGGAATTATATATGCTGAGCATTTATGGTTCCTATGGGAGAATTTGATGTCTATATATGCCTTCATTGGTACCCCTGGAGGGGGCACAATGTGAGACCTGTGGAGTGCGGTGTTTTTGTTTTGCTTTTAAAGATGTCTTTGTTTGAATAAATGAGTCACTCATGTGCTTCTTGACCACCAGCCTTATCATTTAATATATGTATTTATAACAAAAAAACACCAATCCTGGTTGAGTTCATAACTAGTCATTTTAGTTTGGTTTACTGCTGGATCTTTGACTAGGGACTCCAGGATTACTAACCATTATTGACCTTGAGGCTTTTTTTGTAGGTTGAAAACGAATTACTTTACTGCAGAACAGTTTGGTTTATACAATGCTTATGTGGATTAAACAATGATTTTTCATTGCCCATTAATGACATTAGCTGTAGATTTGACCACCTTATTAGACTACTAAATCTATTTTTATAACATTTTTGTTTAACCTTAAAATTCCAAAGCCTAATTTAGTGTTAAGCATCTGCCCTAGTCCTGCAGTAAACAGATATACAATCTGATACCCCCAGGCAGTCAAATAATAAATATCTATTTAAAAAAAAATGACAACAGACTAGTAGTTACTGAAACTGCCTGCAGTACCCACCTGCACCATCCAAATGCTGTTCCATTTATGAGAAATCTTCATGTGAAGACCACAGAGAATCTACACTTCTGCAAGTGTCAATCTCCTAGATTCCTTTGTAGCTCTCAGGGGTTTCTGCTACTAACGACCATGTAACTATGGGACACAGTGTTGATGTGGAGGTCAGCTGGAGACATCATAGAGAACTGCAAGGGACAAAGGGGACTGACACTCCCAGTAGTGTTGTTTTTCCCTTCTGACTTACAATGAAGATTTCTCATGACTGTAGTTGAGCTCTGGTGACACTGGCAGAGGGAAATGCAAGTAATTAGAATCTTCTTTTACATGTAAGTAATTATGAAGGTTTTTTGTTTTAAAGACAGGGTCCCATTAATATGTAGACCTCTTACTCTAATGTAGGCATGTGTGTGTGTATGTTTCTATAAATATAGGTAAATGCATAGCGAGTAGACATGTGCAATTCCTTTTGGTCCAAATCTGAATTTGGACAAATTTTTGGTTATTTAGAGATTTGGATGTATCCAAATTTCCAAATAACAATAGTAACCAATTTCAGTAAAATTCATTTTGTTTATTTCATTTATTCGTTTTCTAATGAACTCCACATTTTCAGAACGATTCTAATTAAAACTGGTCGAAAATGTCCTAACTAATCCAAATTCTGTGTGAAGAATAGTTGGTTGTTTAGATAAAGGCCGGAAATCCCTCTGCCAAGTCCTTAACCTCCTCGGCAGTCTGATTATTTTCAATTTTTTGTGCTGAAAGCGGTACCATTTTTTTGCATGGAAATATGTAGTTTTTTTATTGTAGGCTGTAATTTTTAGGAATAACTCACTGAAATCTGTCCGAACAAGAGTCTAGTAAACATTCCGGATATGATAAAACTTGAAACACAAAATCATAAATTATAATGTAATTAATAATCATAAAAAATAATAATATAATAATAATAAATTTAATTCAATAATATAATCAAACCAAAAACACTGAAATTTGAAATACAGAGGCAAATTTGCACATCGCTGAGCAAAGTCGCAAAATCGTTTTCAGTGTCTGATGACGAATTTCCCCACGAATCATTATCACTCAATTCTGCAAGTGGTTCTAATTTACTATCGCTGTTCTCTAGCTGGTCTAAAACCGCTTTTGACCTAAAGGGGCGCTTTTTGGACGCCATGGACTTTTCTAAGTTTCCAGGCAGAAAGAACAGTCAAAATGCAGGCAGGGCACAGGACAAAGCAGTAGGGACAAAATATATGTGAAATGTATTGAAACAGCAATGTTTTACTATATAATAATAATTTTTAAAAAAATGAAATTTTTTTAAAATTTCAAATTTGCCGCCGGTTCCGGCGCCCGTACGTCCCGACGTCACAGGGACCGGAACACGGAAGCCGAATCCCGGCATCGGCCGGAGGAGATGGCCGGGGACACTGCAGGGGACACATCGCAGGAGCGAAGGACAAGGTAAGCGCTGCAGGAACTCCCTGAGCAACGCCGCATGGTAAGCCCGAGTGTAGCTCGGGGTTACCGCTCTTGGTACTGAAATTTTACCCCGAGCTACACTCGGGAATACCGCCAGGGAGGTTAACAACACATGACTCATCAGCTGTCAGTGGTTTTCCCAGCTGTCAGCTGAATGTAAACAAAAGAATGATGGCAATGAAAAATAAAGAACAAAAATGTTGATGGGGCAAGGAGGGAAATTATGTATGCCACCTTGGAACGATCAGTAGGGAAATGATTGGCTGCTAGTTCAAAATGAATAGAGCATTGATTGATGAAGCCTCAACAAACTTTGGGATCACCAGAGAAGTGAGGCAGTGGAGGCAGCTGGAGTCTCAAAGGATGGTGTTCCACTGGGGGTTGTGGGGGTCTGCAGACAAAGGGCTTATTGGAATCTGGAAACCCCCTTTAACAAGGGGGCCCTCAGATCCCGCCCAACCCCATATGAATAAGTATGAGGTACATAGTACCTCAACTCCTTCACCAAAAAAAGTGTAAAATGTTAAAAACAACAGTTTTATTGTTCCTTTATTAAAAAATGAAAAACAAATAAATAAATGTCCCCCAAATGTCCCGCCCCTTAGTTATTTAAAAACTGTCAGATGGCAGAGCTATCAGACAGCCGAAGCCTTTGTTGATGTCACAAGTTAGCCTACAGCCTCTTGTGTGTTTATTCTTACCTCTTTGCTGCTCTTGATTCCTTCACATTTTTGTTTGTCTGAGCTCACCTGTGGGCTTCGTCTGCTATCCTCTGGGATTTATGTCCTTCCCTTCTATCACTTCCTGGCACGCTGCTTAGCTGGCTTGTCTATTTAAGGCATGCTCAGTCTGTCCCACTTTGCCTGAGCAATGTCTTGTTGTTGGAGATTCCTTGTC